GATGCATGCTAGCCCCAAATTCCAAATCACGAATTGCGAAATACACCAAAGAGCGTGTTTCGCGTTTATCACATTACAACTAGCACTAGTTGTGTGTTTTTTGCAAGAAACACTTTTTAAGTGTTTTTTCATGATGCATTTGTATTTGAAGTAAGGATGATTTTAATAACATTTTCAATAAAAACGTTTTTAGCCATTTTAAAAGCACTTCCAAATGAGTTCTTAGATGTTAAATATTGGTCATTGTAACTTTGACTAAGAATATAACAACTAAAAAGCCTTCTCTCCTCCCCTCCCTCTCCTCTGGCCGTTTCTTTCCAAATACAAAACTGCATTTTCCCTTACCTTTTCACCTTGTCTCCCTTCCTCATAATCCATCCCCAACCCGTCTTATGTTTTGATATGCGCACTCTAGGCCATATATGATTTCCAGATTTATTTCCCTCCCTTATTTTCCCTACCCCAATCGGAATGCCGAATTTCCCTCAAGACCAAGTGTTTTGCGGTGGCCAAAGTAAGGGTATTTTGCATACCCTTTTAGCCTCACCTTTTATCTATGTGTTAATGTGTTTGTATGTATTTGCAGGGATTAGTAGATGAGATTTGGATCTGGTCACTATCTCTTGGTTCTGCATCTTTGGTGAAAAATTCTGGATGTGATGTGCTTTTGGTACTTTTGTGCTACGATGTCTTGGTCGATTTCACCACTCAGTCATTTTCTCTAGTATGTGTCAAGTAGCTATTGACAAGACTTTCATGACGACGACGGCGATAGATGCAACTTTTTGCACGGTCATAGATTAGGGATTTGAGTTTTAGTTTTTACTTATTTAATTGGAATGGGCTTTTATGTATTTTTATCCCCCCAATGTATCAGTATTATTTTGCCTTCTTATGTGTTGACCTGTAACCTTCCTTCGGATGAATGAAATTTACTTTCCAGACAAAACGGAAAAAACACAGAAGCGTACAGTGTGAATACAGAACCACAGTTTCCTTAATGGCATGTACTATCATGTGCAAGATTTGAGCAGTTGACTTTGAATCATTTAAGCACCAACTGAACTGACCAACTTGAACAACTCCTAACCATTATCTCACTCAAACGACCTTTTGATTTAGGTATACAATGTTGTTTGCTTTACGTCAAAACTCCTGAGATTGCGCCAGGAAACTTTATGGTTTTTTCATTTTTTTTCTGGGTTTTTATTTGTCGAACAAGCAAATGGGTCTCAGAAATTAATTTGGTTTTGGGGACTTCATGTGATATTGTCAAAGTATTTCTTATATTGTATTGTATGGGAGCCCTCTAGATCTCAGTAGCGGTGCTTAATAAACTATATTACAAGTCGATGGACTCTCTCTCTCTCAAAAATGCTCGACGGTGCTGCATCACGATTCACGTGGCAACTGTCATGAAAATACTTGTACGATCAATACCAAAACTCCATTTCCAAAATTTCAAATTCATTTGTTTTTTTCTTTAAACAAAGCAAAGAGGTTATATCTGCATGACAAATTCAGGAATTTTTATTTTCTCGATAGATTAAATATAAAAAAAGAACTTTATAAGTTATTTTTTACAACACAATTGTCTTATTGGTTGGTGAGCAAATCTTAACTTTTTTACAACACAATTGTCTTATTGGTTGGTGAGCAAATCTTAACGATGATCGCACATAAAAGATTGAAGAAAGAAATTGTGATAAAATAATTTAAGTGTAGCGAGTGGATTTTCATCAAATGAAGGATATAGTTGATGGTTTCGTGTAAAAAGGTGATATACAATCTATTATATTAAAATATTTTTCTTAGGAATATACAACTCAGGAAAATGTAGTGTGTAATGTGAAAACGGGGTCATGTGTAATGCAAGAAAGAAGAACGATGCCATATCATATAAGGTCAAGCCTCAAGGAAGTAGCATGTAAAGTTGTGTGCTACGATACGACCCTGAAATATATAAGTTCCAATCATACAAAAACACATTAAATATTTGCCCATTTTATCTTCAAATAGCAACAACCTGCAACTTGGATTTCTGCATTTTGATCATTCCCGGCTTTTCTGTTGGTCAAGAGCATGTGGAGCGGAGGTGGGAGAGAGAGAGAGAGAGAGAGAGAGAGAGAGAGAGAGAGAGAGAGAGAGAGAGAGAGAGAGAGAACGTGGAAATAATTGCTGAACAATTCAGACTTTGCAGAGAGACAGAGAGATGGATAATTCAATTTATTATTTAATTAATAACTTAATTAATACACCAAATTAATCATATACGTTCAATCCGGCTGCAGAGATTATTCCATGTGAGGTGGTTGCATGGGCATCACCGAGTCGATCTGTTCTCTTATTTATACTTTGGAAATTCCCGATTAATGTAAATACACTCCCAAATACCAATCCCCCCCTCTCTCTCTCTTTCTCCCCCCCCCACCCCTCTACTCTCCTATCTCTCTCTCTCAACAATGGCGAAGCTCATTTTTCCATTAGCAATCTTTCTTGGAGTATGTAGTCTCTCGACATATGTCACTGCATTCACAGCATCTGCCTGGAGTAGAGGTCATGCCACATTCTATGGAGGCAGTGATGCCTCTGGAACTATGGGTACGTACGTAGTTGTTTTTCTTCTGCGTTTATGCGGAAGTTGCTTTCCTTACTAATATATTATTATGATTAACCGAACCCTTGACCTATCCTAATTCTAACATGTTACGGGTTGTATGCACTGCAGGGGGAGCTTGTGGATATGGCAATCTGTATTCCACCAGGTACGGGACTAGGACGGCGGCTTTAAGTACCGCCCTGTTTAACGACGGAGCTTCTTGTGGACAATGCTACAAGATCATATGCGACTTCAAAACAGATCCTAGATGGTGCGTAAAAGGAAGGTCCGTGACAATTACTGCAACAAACTTTTGTCCTCCCAATTCTAATCTTCCAAACGACAATGGAGGATGGTGCAACCCACCCCTTCAGCATTTCGACATGGCTCAGCCTGCCTGGGAAAAGATCGGGATTTACAGAGGTGGCATCATCCCTGTCTTGTTCCAAAGGTAATTCTAATTAGCCCGAAAACTAAACTTTAATCGTTGAATTAGTTCGAATTTGACCATTAATTTATAATCCGAGGTTGATATGTTATCTATATGGTTATTGTATGTCTCAAACATGGTATTGACCATACCGATACAATATCAACGATAACCTATCAACATGTTATCGACATGTAGATTTTCGACAACCTCAACGCGTTCATCTTCTCCTGCACAAAGAATTTTTGTATTGAACCCTTTGTGATAGTGTACTATATATATTTATGGGATTTGGATCGTGTGTGTGCAGGGTACCATGCAAGAAGAAGGGCGGTGTGAGGTTCACAATAAATGGGAGAAACTACTTTGAGCTTGTGCTGATCACCAATGTCGGAGGAGCCGGATCTATCCAATCTGCTTACATTAAAGGATCCAACACTGGCTGGATTGCAATGTCGAGGAATTGGGGAGCAAACTGGCAGTCCAACGCCTACCTCAACGGCCAATCTCTGTCGTTCAGAGTCACCACAACCGACGGCGAAACTCAACTGTTTAACAACATTGTTCCCGCGAACTGGGGATTTGGCCAAACGTTCGCCAGCCAAGTACAGTTTTCATAAATAATCTGGTGTTGTTGGTTTAATGAATTCAAGTGGCTGCTTTCACGGTTCTGGGTTAATCAACGGCAGAGGCGTGCTTACGTTATTTTTAAGAGGCAGCCCGCCACATTTTGTTGGGTTTATCAAATTACGTGGTTATATATTGTCATTTTTTATACCCAGAAAGTATAGGGCTCGATCCCAAAACAACATCTGTGTTGTACCGTTTGAATAAGAAGCGCCGTCAAAGATGCAGTTTCAAACATGTAGAAATATTTGCCTTTTGGCTTTTACTACAAAAATTATAATCATCATATATTCTTGTAATATGATTTTTTTTTTTGTCGGTTGTAATATGAATCATTACTATAATAGTTAAATTTTCTTGGAAATACCCCATCCTTCATGTTGTACTATTTTTCATGTTGTAGCCTGATTATTAAATTACATGAGATTTGTCCCGAAATATATATGAAATTGACTCGTATGATTTGGATATAAAATTATTATGACGTTTTATATAAATAACATAATACGATGTATAAATTTATCTCTATAATGCATTATATCATTATCAAGTTGCCTGAAATGTAAATGAAATCGACTTGTATGACATGTAAATAAAGTTATCACGACTTTGTTACTTTGTGTCAAAAAAGTTATCGTGAAACACACTCTTGTCCTTGTGAGTTGCCATTTGTGACGAAAATTAGGTTATCTTTGGACTTTTGTCATTTTAAGTTGTTGGGCTTTTTAGCAAAAAACCGGGCCTCGTATTGAAGGCCTTTTGGCATTCTTTATGGACATCGGACAAGGAGAATATGACAATGAGAATCTCGTTTTCAGAGTACGACAATGAAAAAGGCTTTGGGACCATAATGCCACGTTAAAACATACTATTTAGTCACATAAAATTAAAGTTCGTTTGAAATTTTTTTTTAAAATAGTTAAAAAAGTTTTTAAAGAAAATATTTTTTTATTTCAAAAGTATTTGAAGTATTTCATGTAACAATTATGTGCTTATTGTAGGAAGCATTCTACGTGTTTTTCGAAGATTCACTTGCATTTTTACCAATGATTGATTTCAATACATTTTTACCAAAAAAGCTTTCAGCATTTACAAAAGTACTTTCAAACGAGCCCTTAAGTGGATCCATGACTACTTCTTTGAATGACAGGGTAGTTTAGCAATGAAATTGGTTTTGTATACATGGTATTAACGACATATGCACCACAAACTCAACTGTACTTGAGTTTTATGAACAAAAACATGGTTGTTTTATTACTGATTTATGTCACCGACTCAAGATATAGAAGCTTTTACAGTTTTACTAGTCATGATCTAAATATTTTTAAAGTAAAAAAAGAATGATTTTATAAATAAATGAAGTAATTTTATTGATTCTACGTACAAATAGAATGACCCATTGATAAAGTTACAGACCAAAGAATAATGAATAAAAGAATAGAAACAGTGGCAGTGAAACCACACACACATAAGTAGCAATAACAGATCGAAGTAATGAATAATCCCTTAACCTGAGGTTGATCCATATGAAGAAGAAAATTTGGTTGATGAAGCAATTGCGTGGATAACTACTTCATCCAAATTATTTGGACTTGTAGCTTACGTCCAAGCTATATATGTCACGTAACATATCACTGATTGTCACCATATATATCTGCATCTCTTTTTGGCGTAACATCCCATACCACTTCACATCAATCATGATGTATGATTACCAGCTTAATGACCGGTTGCGATGTCACTAACTAGCTCCTAATTAGGTACTTGCCAATATTTCTTGTATCACAAGCCTTCTCGACCTGTTTATGGTGAGCAAGCACAAGTAAATATGTTCTTCAAGCTCCTCTAGCTGCTCCAAAAAGCTAGCCTCACTCGCATGAAATTCCCTCACCACCTTCTTAAATATGTCAAAGTTTGAGGCTGATCCACCATTACTCGTAGTAATAATACTCCTCACACTTCTAACACATATTCCGGCCACCACTTTCCGGTGCTCCACTTCATTGTGCAAACGTCTCACCATCCGACTCATTGTATCGAAGTCGTTGATCAAAATATAAACCCCTTGCGCCGCGACGTCAAGTTGCTTCCCGTGGCTCTCGGGAAACCTAGCATTCAACCACTCCGCCGCAGAGTCCATTTTTCTCACGCACAAACCCAATGAGCAGGCCATGAGCGCCGGCGCCACCACGATTCCAATCATGCTGTGGATTGCAAACACAAGCCACGCGATCAAAAGCGCGGTGTGTGACAACACCAGACCCACCTCTCCAACCTTTTTGCATATTCTGTTACGCTTTGCGGCCCTGCGCACCTTTTTGTGCTTTAAAGTTAGCCTATTGAACAGCGCCGCGTAGCTGTCGTGAATGTCACGGAACTGCCCAGGGCTGACTATCGACAACGGATTTTTGGCTCTGGCAAATGTGCCAAGCTCCCCGAAAATTGCCAGGCATTGTTTGTCATCAGTAATGTCGATATTATCATTATTAAGTATGCGTACCCTTCGGCTGAGTTTTAGTAAGAGCTTCTTCGTGTGTCGATTTTCTGCCCGGGTTTGGTGCATGCTACGGAGGAGCACGTCACAAATGTGGCAGGCATCTAAGCTGGCTTCGAAGTAGTCGGTGAGAAGGTGGTGGAGATTTATGCCCTCCTTGTCGACGATGTTTTTAAGGGTTTCTTGCCGCGGTTCTAGCAAATATTCGGAGCGGTCCGAAAACAAATTAGGCGGAAGCGATGAGCTAGACGAAGAAAGCCTAGCGCTCGGGAGCTGTCCGTGAACCCTATCCCACATTTCTACGTACGATTTTGTTCTGAAAACTTCCAAGTATTCTTCTTTCACGTTTAACTTGCTGGAGAAGCTATTCCCACCGACATTGTCCTTTTTGCTCCCTGAAATTAAATTACCCATCAATTAACAAGCAATATCTATCGATTATTCAAAACACAAATTAATTTTTTTTTAAATGTGAATTAATCAACTAGTAATCATAAATTAAGGAAATTAACATGCATAGAAATATAGAAATCGGAACTCACTTGGCTTGGAGAACGCAGATCTCAACTTGGTTCGTAGGGTTTTCCTCATCTTAGACATGATCATGTAAATCAAATAGTATAATATATATATATCGATCGACGGAAGATGATTAAATGGAGCTGCTAATTTGTTATCTCTCTAAAATCGCAGGAGAGTCGAACCGGTATACAAAGGAAGAAGATACGGAGAAAGTTGGCGTATATATATATGCGGAGAGAGAGATGTGGACGACACCTAGTTGGCAGTTATAGGCTTATACCACCGACTCAATTAGTTTTGTGGCTTTGGTCACACGTTTGAGTCCCTCATACGTTTTGCTCTAGCTTTCTCTCTACGTGTAAGGCTTTCAAGCACAATTATAATTGACCTAGAGAGATAACGTTCCATGTTTTATTAATTTAGATCACAGAAAAAAAATGAAACCATTATTATTTGCCAAATTTAAAGCAAAACATATAACAAATATTGCAGTACGAATTTTTTTTTTTGTCAAATTATAAATTGGTTAGATAAATGTTAAATTAGGGAACTGACGGAATTTGAACCTATGTCATAATGCAATGACAATACTTCTCTTAACTATTGTGTTAGAAGGTCACTTACAAATATCGCAGCACGATAACTAATTGCCAAATTTCATGCTGCTACTGCTCAGTGAGTTTCGGTTCTAAATATCTAGCTCCAATTCCTCCTGTTATACGCTATAAAATAGATAAGATTTATTATTCTTTTCATTTATCAATTTCTTTATTTCTCTCTCTTTTTATTGCGTTCCTAATTTGATATACCGTGCTCTAAATTTGCACTAAACATGAATAACTTGAAGATTTAACTTTTATAGTACGGCACTATTCGAGGAAGCCGATTTGATTTGGTTCGAGGAAACCCGAATTGATTGTTTATGTTATTTTGAGAATAGTCTTAGACTCGTAGTTTATAAAGTTGGTGCAATGCACTATTTTTTAATTTGATCGGGTTTAAATTCCCTGACTAGATTTTTATTGAGATTCACGTAATTGCAGCATATGTATCCTATTATGTACTTTTTCATCCAGATAACGGATTTCTCATCGGTTAACGGTTATATCCATTTTCGTTAGTACAAAAAATATATTCGCTCAATTGACGCATGATAATTTAGTAAATATTAATTTCGTCATTAAATATTTTATGTATAAAACGATTTAATTAATGGATCTTGTGGAGCATGAAAATTAAAACTAAACATTGATAATGTTGGTTGATCTTTGATATCGCCCATAAATACCATTAAATTCTAATAGATTTTGATTTTTATCAAAACTATTGAACTTTGCCATAAAATGCAACTCACACAATGCAATTTTTGTATGAGAGCTACTAGGCCCACCCTATTGTCTTATTTTCCTACCCACGTTATAATCTCACCCACCTTAAAAAGTTCAAAAATTAAAATGTTATTTCCTCACCCACTATTATTCCCAAAATAACCTTTAATATGTACATACATATGAAATTATAAAATTGTCTCTTAAAAAATATAACAAATAATATGTAAATGAAAACTACTAAGGTTTGCAAATTCAAATGGAAACGACATATGTATCCAAATTCAAAAGAATTTGACAATGTAAAAATACAATGGACAAATTCAAATGACCTACACACAAATTATTCTTCTACCTTTTCAATGGAAACATAATATTTTACCTCTTCCGTAGAAACATCATCTTCCACCTCTTCCATTAATATGTTTTTTACTTTCTCTAAATGAAAGGAAATGAAAATATGAGTTAGGGTTTAAGGTAGAGAAATTGTCTCCCACGCTTAATTTTTTTTTTTTAAATTAAGCAAAGCAAGATAATTACTGTCCTTATCAATCTTTTTGCAAATGGACAAATTTGTAATTAAAAATTTCATTAAAAGGTGGGTGTGAAGATAAAACATTGGGGTGGAAATAACATCACTCTTTTTGTATTCTCAAGGTAATGGATTCGGTGAATAATGAATATATATATATATATATACACATATATTATATAATACTTTAATATTATATATATTTATATTATATATTATTCAGTTCGAGTTTGGGTACGGATATGGATTGGGGACCCCTATAACAATATCCAAAACCATAACCGAATAATATTCACGGTTTTTCATCATACCCAAAATATACTCGAATTTTCATACCCAAATCCAATCAATTCAAACGGTTATCCACAGTTATTGGGTTTAACGATTATAAATTGTCATCCTTAAGTTGTGTTATTAAAGGATAATTTAGCACTAACACGCACGTGACTAAATGGAGCAATCAAGATAAACATTACTTTTGAACACGAATGGGCCTGCAATAAAAATAAAAATAAAAACTAATGAAAAAAGTTTGAAAATTTTGAGTTTATGAAAAAGACAAAATAAAAGGGTAAAGTGATTAGTACCATAATTGAATTTTTAGTGTAAAAAATATGATTTTTTATTAAAGTAAACAGTACCAAAAAATTTTCATTAAGGTTCTCTAAAAAAAAATTATTTTCGGGACTTTAAGCCCGATATTTAATAGCATATGTGTGGACCAGCATAGCTCCCCCCATTTTCAATATGAAAATGGGAAGTTGAACAAGTACAAAGAGAAGGTGAGAGAAATTACTCCTACATGCACGCAGCAATTTAACAATAAGACGATGTATCCTTGACCCAACCACGATCGAGTCCGAGAGTTTCTCCACAACTACTCGGGCGAGAGTTTCTCCACAACTACTCGGGTCCTTGACCCAACTTTTAAAACAAAAAAAATCAACCAATTGACTAATTCAAATAACATAGACTTGGCTTTGATATCGATTAGCTCCCATATGGCACACATACTTAATAGAATGTTCTTATAAAAGGAAAATTATTTTCGCACACACTTTTATCGCTTGAGTGACAAGGATAATAAAATCTATGGAGTAAAATGATAATAAATTGTACGGGAGAATACGGTAGGAAACAATTGTCATAGTAGACCCCAACACTCAAAGGCTCGCAAGTTTGGAAGGTATTTGATCATTAGCAGCATCACCAGCAGCAATGTCAATGACAAATCGATACCTAACATCATTCTTGGCGACACGGTCCAAGGCCTCGTTGATTTTGTCCGGCGTTGTAAGCTCAATGTCGCATGTTATGTTGTGCTTCCCGCATAAATCCATCATCTCCGCTGTCTCACTTATTCCTCCTATTACGCTTCCCTTCACTGCTCTCTTGCCTGTGCTGCGTCCACGTCAGTCCATTAATCACAACGCCATTGCATGCATATATTTGTTAGTTTCTACAAAAATTAGAAACTAATCAATGGTGTTTTTGTTTGGTACGTACCAAATATCAGAGGAAATGAAGGCAACTCAAAAGGCTGGTCCGGTGCACCCACAACCACCATAGTTCCATTCACTTTGAGCAGTTCTAAGATGGGCCCAAGCGAGTGCTTAGCGGACACTGTGTTTAATATGAAGTCGAGCGTCCTCTTCCCTTTCTGCAGTCGTAGTCATCATCGTCATCGTCATCGTCATTAACTTTAACTAATCCTTAATTAATTTGTTCTAAAAGGAACATAGAGAAAAACAAAAAACAAAACAAACTGAAATGAAACCGGCCTGCAATTGTTGAGGATCAGTGCTGACGAGGAAGTCGTCGGCACCCAAATGCTCTTTAGCCTCCTTCTCTTTGGCTGGAGAGGTGCTGATGACAGTTACATGGTGACCAAAAGCTTTCCCAAACTTCACCGCCACGTGCCCGAGACCTCCGAGGCCAACCACCCCTATCTTCGTCCCCGTTGTTTTGTGTAGGTTGTGGTCTTTCAGGGGGGCGAACACCGTCACTCCCGCACACAATAGCGGCGCTGCTGCATCCAACGGCAGATTGTCTGGTATGCGTACCACGTACCTTCATCATCATACATGTTCATATTACTTAATTCTTAAGCACATCATTAACTCTTCTTATATAAATTAAACCCTGAAAAGAAACACTCTTCTTATATAAATTAATTAATCAATGGCTTATAGTTAAATATATTTAATTTGCTCCGCTTAGCTGGCGATGCTAGAGACCAAATTATTAAGCACGCTGAAAAAAAGGTAAAGTTTAGGATTTGAGCTATTTTCTACTGGCAATTAGTTTCATTAGGTTTATTTTGCAATTCAAGATGATTCGCGCATGTGAAGCCGAAGCCACATGTGCTCACCCATGTACAATTATTTGAAAAGATGACCTTAGCGGCCAGGTCCTTTTTTCTTCACATAAAACCGTACATAATTTTTGATTCGAAGAAAAACCAATAACTATGATCTACATAAGCAAGTTCATCAATTATCTTTATTTTACACATTTAAAATTTTTTGCTGCCAAAAATTCCCCTTTTGCATTTTGATGCACGCTATTCATTCTTTGCGGATTGTAAAGTAGGGATTAATGGTTTTGCAAAAAGAAAAGGACAAAAAACGCATTAAAGTTAGAGATTAACGGTGACAATAAATGTGAATATTACTGCTTATGTTTTACTTTAAATTAATAAAAAAATTAAAAGATCAGATATATAACGATAATCTACGTTATTCAATGCATTATTTTTTTTAATTACTCTTTTCAAAACCTTTTTTGGGGTCAAATTAGGCATTTTAATTTGTTTTTACCAAATTGGAAATATGAAAAGGTGCTAATTTTGTGTTTCTTGCAGTTAGTGTATGTATTTCCCCCCAACATTATTAGTATGTGCTACAAAATATAAGAATGTTATTTTATTCAAAATTAAGGTAAATTCACCTCAAAATAAATATATGTAAATTATTTTACACAACATATACATAGCAACAACAAAAGTTCCTAATAAATATAATATATATTCAATATAATGTATCTATAAAATAAAGGAATGTTGTTTAATTCAAACTAACTTACCTATATTATATATAAAAATATAAGTAAACCATTTGCACACACATATATATAAATTTATAATAATAATAATAATAATTGGTTTAATATATACAATAATACATCCAAAACAATTTACCTACCAAACAAAAACATTTTGTTGAGTCAAAATTAATTTTATACTTCACATAAAGTATAAGTGAATTACTTGCACACCCATATATAATAATAATAAAAATACTCTTGATATATGCAAGAT